AATTTAAAAATATTAAAAAAATAAAATTGGTTAATTGTAACAAATGTTTATATGTATTAATTTTTCTAAACTATCATTTTTAATCATATGTACTAGAATTATTCTTGGGTGAAAACAATTTAGAATCGATAGGGATATTCAAAAAAAATTTATAAATTTAAAAGGCAAAATGGACCGAGATTTTATATTTAAAAACAAATTCAATCATTAAACTATTTCTTATATTAATAAGAATAGAAAGTAGTATTACCTAAACTTAAATCACTTAATTTTTTTTTAAAAAGAGAGTTCTTGCTAATTATTTCTGGACTTGTGCACAACTCTTAACTATTTGTGAGATCAAAACACACACACACGCACCATCTCTAATTAAAACTAATTTTTATCTATGAAAGAACCAACTTCATTAGCTGCCCGTAATTGTTTGTGATGATAGGTTTCTTGTTTTTGAAGCCCATTATTAATGGGATCTTTCTTTTTCACATAAAAGAGACGGTGGGTGTGCTTACAAAGAACAATATTATCATCATAATTCTTAATCATTCTTCTTTGCTTCCAATCAACATAATGTAGCCACCGTCCCTTATTAATAATTAATTATAAATATTTATTGAGATTATCATCTTATTTTGCTCTTTCTTTCTGAACTTCATTCTTAACAGATTATTTTTTTGGTAGCTTATCTTAAATTTCAACCAAATTAATCCTATTTCTTGTGAGTCATTAGTTTGCAAACTTGTCTAATAATTTCACACTGGCTTTGCATCTAACAAAAATATAAAGTTATGTCAATATTGTAAAGGGAAAATTGGCTTAAAACACTTGTTTAGAAATTTTATTGGTCATAAAAACCTAAATTTTAGTGGGTACAACTAACTTTAATAAATTTAACTTTTCTCCAGTTATATAAAACATATTTTTAACTATGTGCAAATAACTTATGCTTTAAAAAATTTTGCACAGGTTGCACATAGCTGAATATGAGTTACGCTTGTTTGCCTAATAAAATTTTCAAACACTACTTTTCACTAATTTTTTCTGCTGCAAATGGCTTTATCATTTTCTTAATACACCCATTTTTTCCGGTTTTAGACATTGGGCAAGGGAGTCCAGAAGTCGTTTTCTTCGTCGGGTCTGCTACTACGTAGTCAAATGTGATTTAGCAACTAACAAGAGTTAGGTCTAATAAAAAAATTAATTTTTTATAATGTAATGAGTTAAGATTCAAATTCTTATAAGAAGATATGGCTATACTTAGTGTCGACAGTATTTTAAATAGAATTACCTCCCTTGTAAAAATACCTGTGCCTAACAGGGGGAAAAAACCTAGGCCAAAAACCAGGAAAAAAAAAGGTCACGTACGAAATCAATAATTTACATTAAAATAGATGATTATTTTGACTTCTTAAATTATTATTTCAACATGATTTCATGCCATCCAACTTCTCAGTATACTACACCCCATAGATCATCTATAGATCTAACCAAAGATATCTTCTTCTTTTTTAAATAAGTTCAAATTTTGAATATCACATTTTCTCTCTCTGTAATTATTATTCCTTTTTTCTTGTGCATAAATACCCTCTTATTAAATAATCATTATAATCTTGTATTTAAGAACTTTTTAAAGAATGATTTATTTATATTTATAAGAGATACTAACCCCACGTTTTGTATGAAGAAAATGAAGGAGAGGAGAAGGGAAATTTTTTTTAATAAACTTGATGAAAAAAAATTAGAGAAGTGGGGTTTTAAAATTTTAATAGAGAGAAGATATAAGATAAAAGAGTAATAAAATTTAATTAAAAGCTTTTAACCCTACTTCTTTAATTTTTTAAATCAAGCCCATTAAAATTTTTTCCCCTCCCATTCCTTTTATTTTCCCCGTATCAAACGGATCCTAATAGCTTGTGTAAATATTTTAGATTTTTACCTTTATTAATTATTGGTTAATCTCGCTGCATTAGTTATCCATTCATTCTCTCTTCCTCTATTAACCAATTTAAATCAATTTTTTATTTTTGCAATTCGATTATTTGTATGTTATAAAAAAAGGCATGAATGAGTCTTTGTATGTTAATCTCACTACATTATATGTATGTTATAATTCACTCTGAAATATTTGTGATATTTAGTTCTCTGCATTATTAGATATTAACTCTTTTTGTTGGATTCAACACCTATTGCTTCTCTCTCTTTCTTTTCTTCTAATTTGTAAGAAGAAAAATATACTGTAAATAATTTGCTTCGTATATGAGCCAATCACAACTTTATCGGTTTATTATTTATTAACTTCATTGGTTTAATTGATTATTTGGCTTTCGATTTAGAGGGAGTTAGACAATCCTCATAAGCACTTATAGAAGTGTTTTCATGCAAATTAAGTCAAAATTTCTCTCACATACTGATGTCGAACTCAGTAAAATTACCTATAAGTATGTACGCGAACACATGTTTAATGATGTTGGCCATAATAAACAAATTTGACAATATCTAGTCCGTATAAAATGAATGAATATCAATATAAACACGTAGGTTTAACAGTAAAAAAGGGAGGAGGGTAGATGTGCTTCTTCAATGTTGTGGCCATTTCTCATCGTCACAGGTAAGTTGTTGCAGAGAAAAAGCAATGGACCTAACAATATAGGAAGAAGCTTTATATTTCATAAAGATATGAAATCTTGTCTGCCAAAACACCCCATGAATGATATAATAATTAAAGCCTCTTCTTAACCTTTCCCACAACTTTACTACCATCTTTAACCAACTATATAAATAAGCTCTGCCCCACTTTTTCTCATATATATATATATATATATATATATGGCATGTGAGGTGTAAAAACAATCCACATGTCATGTCTTGATTAAAAAAACATGTCAAAAAGTGCCATAAAAGAGTTGCTTGTTATTAATGCCTATTGAAATATAATTACCATCAAACTATAATAGTGGTGGGATCAGTTTCTACTTCCACCCTCTTTTCAGAAAAAATTCCTGTAATGGTTGGCACTAGAGCTCTCACCAACTCTGGCAAGAGGTTGAGAACTTTTTTCTGTTCTTTTAAATAAAGGATATTTTCTTCTTTGTGTGATTACGAAGTATTAGGTGCTCTGTTTTCGCATTTACATATTTCACGCTTTTTCCCATTTAGTAGTAAAGTTGCTCAAAAGTTAGCAGTAGATATGTAACCATCTTCAACCTTCAAATAACTATAACATAATTCTCTAAATAACTTGATTTCTTTTTATTTGAGTCCTTGTGTAGCTTTTTTTCAGAAATTTAAATACAACATACTCCTTCGGTCCTTAATATAGCACCCAATTGTTGTGTTATTTTGGTATTAAATATAAGACTCATTTCTTAGTTTTATCAATTTTTTTCAAATTACCCCTATGGATACTCCCTCAATCATAATCAAATAGAAGAGGGAGAGAGAATATTAAAAAAGATGATTATGATATTTTATAAAAAACGTGTTACATTTTTTATAATTAACTAACTTACCTAACTTCTTTAATTTAATTAAATTAGTAAATTAGTTTTATATTAAAGACCAAAAAAGTATATACACGTGTGAATACATAGATGCATCTTTCACTTTTCCGCTTCTCATTCTCTTCTTGTCTTCCTATTTCTCCCTCCAGATATAAAACAAACGGTATAACAGGATCTCCTACGTGGCACGCCTCCAAGCATTCAGGACAAACTGTTCTTCACTCAGGCATGCTCAGAAAGACACGGATCAAGAATGGTTGGGAAAAAGAAAGTTACAGCAGATGAAGAGATTTTTAACACTTGACATTTTTTTTAATAAAAAGACAAATATTATTAAGATCAAACGAATAGTTTATTAGAGTTAGCAAAAAGAGCAGGAATGCAAATTATACAAAAAACTCGGGTCCTGTTTAAAATGAACCATTAAAAATGAGAGATAGAAATTACGATTACAATTTAAAAAAATTATTAAAAAATCTTTAATATAAGTAATTGTTTATTATGTGGTATTAGACAAATCCATGAAAGTAGAATGGAGAAATACCACTTCTCTCTATAATATTCCTCAATCCTATATATATAAATTTGTCTAATTCCTTATAACAAATAATTTTTTTTCAATATCTTCGTATCCAACGGTACCTTAAGATAACCAATGCTTGGATCAGAACAGGTTGTCCTCTCAGCTTAATGAGGCTGTCTTTTCAGCTTAATCAGTGGACTTGTGTTTTGAGTCTTGGATATACAACAATACTCCTTCCGTTCCTTATTATAAGAGACATTTAATGCTTATGGCATGTTTCTATATATAAGAAACACTTACAAATTGTCTCTACTTTTTTGTGTTGATTTACTATTTTACCCATATTTATTATCTCCAACTCACACTCTCTCTCCCTCCTACTTCTCTTTCTTTTAATAATTTAATTGTTCTCTCTCATGCTCTCTCTTCTTATTAATAAGGGCATTTTTGGAAAAAAAATTATACTTTTTACACATTAATTGTTCTTAACTAATTTTAACTATTTTTTTGATCAACGTATTTCGGTTATTTGTCTCTTATAATAAGAAACGGAGGGAGTAATAATTACTCGACAGTATTGAGGATCCCTCCACTGGGGGCCTTCGTTCCCACAAACCGTTCTCGTCGGTTGCTGTTGCCTGTTATTAGGGTTGGACAGAGTCCAAAATAAAAAGAACTTAAAGGTACTCGTATTAATAAAAACCACTTTAAAAGCCTGCAGCATATTAAGAACATTCTGCCAAACCGTTCCTCGAGAGATAGAGCCAAGCGCATGGAAGGGCAATCAAGGACTTTTCGATGCAGATAATGCCAAGCTTGTTTGACTTTGATTATACGAAGCCCCAACGGTAAATCCAACTCAAAGCCGCTCTCAGGCAAAGAACATATAGAAATAATTTGAAGAAGCCCCAGAAGTGATGCAAAGGAGTTCCCTCTAGGTGATCACAACCACGACAGTAACATAACACAAGATGAATGCAGAAAGCTCATTAAGGGAAGGAATTCATGTTGGCAGAATGGAAGATAACTAATTTACGAATTTATAACTGTTTGCCCGGCTCATTTGAATAAAGTACGGAAATGCAGCGGGCAGGCAATTACAATAGCCTCCGTATTCGCTCCTAGATGCTGGTTTGTGTACAAAAACAGGAACTTTCTAAAACCAGGCAATAGCAAAATCATCCATGTCTGATACAGGCTAGAAAGAATAAATACAAACTGTGAAAGACAAAACTTGAAGTCTTCTATGTATAGTTTTTGTGTATCAAGAAAATTTTACCACCAAACTACGGCGATTTCCAAGCATTTTTCATATGCTAGGAAGCACACATCCAAAAATGGACATGGGCATTGCTTTTGAAGTTTTCATGAATGATGACCAAACACATGAACTACTTTCTTTTCCAGCACGTGTTTCTTAGGCACAATCCAACACCAGAGAAAGGCAGATCTTATCAAACACCACGACAAGAAACTTCCAGTTGTTCTATTCTCCCAGCCAAATCATGTTTACCAACATTCTTCAATCCATCAGTAACCATGTCAAAACACCGAGATATTGGTGTTAATCCCAGCTCTGTCATTTCCACCAAATAGTTTGCAGCATCAACAACTCGGCCTCCACGACCACACATGGTTATCAACATTGTATAGACGGGACGGTTGGGGGGATGCCCCTTAACCTTCATATCACTGAAGAAACAAAATGCATCGTCAAACTGACCCCTCCTGCAGAGTGCCTTAATTATGGGTGCATATAAACTGGGGAATGGCTTATGCCCTTCCTCAATTGAATTATGCAAGAGCTTAAATGCTTCATCAATCAAACCCAATTTCGAAATTGGAGGAATAAGGATCTTATAAGTGTTAATATCTGGTGCAAGACCCAATTTACACACTTCATGGTAAAGACCTACACAAAACTCAACCTCTTCAGATTTAGACAATGCTTCTACCAACGTGTTGAAGGTTTCTACATCAGGTACAGACCCTTCCTTAATCAATTTCCTCATCATTTCTTTGGCTGACTCAAAATAGCCCGCGTTTAACAAACCTTCAATCAAAAGATCACGACCTCTCACTGGGGGGTTAAACCCCTTCTTGCTCATTTCCTCCAAAAACTCCTGAGCCTCTCTCATTTTCCCTGATGAGCACCAAGCATTCACTAGAATAGCATAAGTTTTCTTATCAGGATTCACCCCTTTCCTTATCATCCTACGTATCAATGCATAAGCCCCATGAAACATTTTCACCTCACAGAGCGCAAAAAGCAGAGAATTGTGTACCTGCACATTTTGTGGACAATTGAATTTCCTGGACCTGTTGAAGACCTCAACGGCTTGGTCCGCAAGGCCATGCTTGCCATACTCTTCAATAACGAATGAGACAGTCTCGGGAGACAAACTCAGGTTCTGGGTCTTCATCTGTTGAACGATCTTCCACATGGTCTCGTATTTCTTGGCGCGAGCAAGGATCTTCACCATCTCTTCGAATTCCACAGACGTAGGTTGGTAAGAAGGGTTGTAGGATCGAGCCCAGTTGAAGAAGCGGAAGGACTCAGTGCCGGAGTTAGAGCAGGCGCGAAGAACACGAAAGACGAGTTCGGAGTTGACGGAGATGCGGAGCTTGTTGAGGGTGCGCTCCATGTAGAAATCTCGGCGGACGATATTGGAGATGTGGTGGATGGCGGCGAAGTAGTCATCTTTGCAAGGGGCATTGGCGGCGCCGGCGGAGGTGGTTAGGGTTTTGAGGTGGTGACGCCAAAAGGGGTTCGAGGTGGAGTTCGTGCGGAGAAGGTGAATGAACTTTGTAGAAAATATCATTTACTATCAGAAAGCAATATTGAATATCCTTCCGCTTTTTGAGTATTCTTTGAAATTCTTGACAGGTTGGAGCTGCTAAATTTACAGAGAAACCTCTGGCAGGTAGTTGAGGAAGGAGGAAGACATTTTTTCCCCTGCCAACTGAATCACTATTCCACTGGGGAAAAACAGAAAAAGAATTGCTGTTGAAAAATCTACCCTTCACTTCATCACTTTAATTTTCTCGAGTCTATACGTTCCGTCGCCGACCTAACTCCACCCATCGGAGACTCTTTGTACGGGTGCTTGCCGGGGAAACCACCACGGAGACACTCAGCAGTGTTTTGTTTTCTCCTCCTTTGGAGTGCTCGATGAGGCGATCGTTATCTTCCACAAAACGACCGAGTGGTCCAAAGGAAGCGGCCTTGTGCCGTTTAAGCACGTTGATGGGGCTATATTGGCTTCGAAAGAGCCCAGCGAGACTACTGACGGGAGAACGACGGTGAACCAACTAGCAGCTGCCGGATCATCGGCAAAAGGTAATGTTTTTACCGAAAATTTTTTGTGGGCAATGTGCCGTTTGATATCTCGTCGGAGAAGCTGCTGAGTTAATTCATGGAATATGGGAAATCGAGGAAAAACTATTGATGGGACATCAACTGCTTGGTGAATTGGCCATGGATAACCAAAATCAACGAAATGCCTCTTCACCTTTTTCCCCTCAAATTACAAATGCCTCTTCTAGTCTAACATTTTGATATTGCAACTTGTAAGTATGATTTTGCTAGAAATAGAAAAGGAGTTTTTTTTCCCTTTTCCTCTATACAATTTAAACCTGAGTGGCGAGCATACGCACGTTGGAGTTCGACATCTCAATTCTGATATAGCGAGGGGCCTCCTACTGGTGATTTATTTTTTATTTTTAATATCAATATAATTCTCAATTTTAACAAATCTAGCCACCTGAACAAATACATGTGATGTTAGGGTAATTTAAAAATATTTTTTAAAAGCATTTTTTTGTAAATAGAGATAAACCTCTCTGCAAATTTATTTTGTATACTATAAAAATATTTTTATACCTATAGTTTTATTTTTATTCAAACATACATGGAAACCGGGCTTTTATGGGATGGATAATAACTTCAACCTTTATTAAAAGTATACTTACTTTTTAATATTTAATGGGTAGCAAGAGTTAAATTTTTAAAATAAATTTGCATCAACTTCTCAACCTGATATTTGAGTGAAAATTTTAGAAATAAATTTGTATCTTAAACTAATTAAAAATAAAATTACAGCTATAGTGATAACTAATTTTAATATAAATTGATAAAGAAACTTTAATTTTTGGTATATATAGTTTTCATTTAATTGTGACTTAATTCCTATAATTAGTAACTCTGATGAAACCTGTTCTTAACTGTTTATAAATTAGTCCTGTATTCCCTGTGACGATTTGTTTTAACATTAAAAGAAAAAAAAAAAATTAGTCCTGTATTTTAAAAATGAAATAAATATGCTTGCTTGCGGCGAGCGGTTTGAGCCGATGGCTTCATTCTCCTGCCGGTTTCCATGTTTGCTTCTGAAGCCGAATAAAAGGCGAGCGCGGGATGAAGGGGACTCTTGAAGCACCGTTTGGAGCATGGAGGGGAGAGGCAGAGGGAGCGAGAGATGGAGCGGAGCCATAACGAATCTGACGGAGATGGCTTCCAATTTGGAGTCTCTCCAGAAGCTTCTCCTCAAGAAAGCTGTTTTCGTGGACGACGAGACTTTCGCTAAAGCCTCCCTCACTGCTGAACAAGCCCGCACCATCAAGGTCTGTGCTTTCAATGGAAATTTCTTTCTATTCTCTCATCTTGCTTTTGATTTCGGAGGTCAACGTGGTCGTAAAAGTAATTTATGAAAGAAGGAACGGATTATGCTGGGTAATTAAGGAGGATTGTTGTTTTCGCTAAAGTTGGATTTGATCGACGATTTCAGGCATCACACGACCTGGACATTTTCTTAAGTAGTTTTTGTTCAGTCACGAGGGCTATTTTCTGGGGGGCATTGGGATTTGATTTATGTGCATGGAAGTTACTGAAATTCTAATCTTTGTAAGTAGGCTTTGCAGATTTTAAGATGCATATGATATGTAATTGAGTTTTTTTTTTTTTTTTGGACTGAAGATGTGTAATTGAGTTTAACCAGCTCTTTGCTACGAATAATTATGATCGGAAATTCTTCACTTGATTGGCGCAAAATTGTTTATTCATCAAACGAAGTGATGCTATAAATTGAACCCTTTCGTGTACGTGCGAGTTTTGGGAGAATTATTGGCATCCATTCAAATCATCTTGAAGGAATTATGATTGTAGAAATATTAAAATGTTCACCTTCAGATATCACACTGAATCAGCTGCTGTTTTGACTCTTCTATATGTGAAGGCATAGGCTTATACATCTTACTCTCAGTAAGTAAAGTTCGTGTTTAGTGCAGCAGATCTTCATTTGGCACTAAGTCGTATCAATGGTTGTTTGCTTAATCTGTTCTGTCGTGGACAATCTCAAGTACTAATCCTAGTTATTGTTTCAGCATTTATATAAAAATTTGACAGAGTGAAGTTGTTTGAACAAACATTTTGATTTATATTCTGATTACAAAGGATATCAGAAGAATCTTTATATATGGTACTAATGGCCTTCAGTTAATATGGTTTATAGGAGTGCTGAACAATTTCACAGAATAAATGATTACGGAGAGTTATGTCATGGAAACTACCCTCTAAAAGTGTTTCGAAGAAAATGTTTGTAAACCTTGAACTAACTAGGATTTGAGCTTTTGTATATTCTAGAGATTCTGCATTTTTACATTTGCAATTAATTCAATGTGATCATTTGCATTCGACCTTTTATGAATGACATGATGGCTTCTTTTAATTTTTTTAGTAAATAAGTTATTATTAATTTTTTTTAAAAGATCAATCTTTGAAGATAAAACCTCTCCATTTAGTTCCCAAAGATGTTCTCAATGAAAATGATCCCTCTTCGAGAGGCAAACTAACTGTTGTAGGAATGTCAAGTGTGAGTGTATTTGGCTTGGCGTAGGGAGAAGTTCCACATCAGATATAGTTGGGCTAGAAAAGAGGTATGTAAGTGGAAAAGAACCATATGCCCAATGGCTTGCTGAGGGGAGAAGTGGAGGGTTTTTCTAAAAAAAGTTACATACGTGGAAAAGCCCATGCTGTGTTTACATTGTTAGGAAGGGAGTGGGGACATATCATTCCACCAATGCCAACACTTTCACTTCTATTTCTAACACAACAGGATGTAAATGCTATAATTTTCACCCAAATTTATCATTGAAATGACATTAAGCGAATGGTTTTTAGACTTGGCAATTACAAATGTCTTTATTTGCTGATATTCTGTTTTATGAAACCAACTATTTGTTCCTGCATAAGACTAATATATCTCGGTTAACCTTTCTCTAGGTTCTTGAACAAAGAGTGGAAACATTGGAAAGAGAGCTTGATGCTGCTATCACTGCTGCTGCTCATGCTCGTTCTGAGAAACGACAAGCTGAAGCAGCAAAGAAAGCAGCGGAGTTGCGTGCGCAAGAGGTTACAAAGGAGCTTGAGAACACCACAAGTATGTTGAATAGTTTAATTTTATCATTCTTTTCCATCAAGTCCCTTGCGTCTTGAACCAAGCTTCTGCAGTAGGCACTATACACAATGCAAGCTGCTTTGTGCAGTTACGAATGCCATAAACATCATTAGTATAACTGCTACCAAGTCAGCTATGTGTTCCTTGAAACTATTATAAATTAATTATGGCTGTTTATTTGAGCAAGTTAAATTGCTCATTTTATCTTTCATCATATTTTGATATCCTTGGGATTAAGTGGTTTGTAGGAACTTATTAATGAAATTGCTAGGTAGCTTACTTCCTCACTATTCATGCCACTTGGATTCAAAATTTTTGTTTTACTCAGTTTTAAACAAATGTTTGATAACTTTTGCTGCTCTTCTATATGGAACCTTTTTCCCTATTTCCATAAAATATGATCATCGTCATTATTTTCGAAACTTGTTCATTTCATCATGCCCGGGAAGTCCAACTTGTATTTACTAATTTCAAATTCTCTCTGGGATGGAGAGAAGGGTTGGGGGATGCAATCATAGTTACTGCGCTTTTGACTCAGCAAAAACGTGGGGCAGTTCTAATCTAAAACAAGCAAAGCTAATAGTTCTAATAACTTTGATCACAGGGGTATTTGGGCTGCACATGGAAGAGCTGCGTGCAAAGCAAGAAGAAATCTCAAAGCGTGATAAAGACATCAAACTTTTAGAAGGTGTAATCCAATCACTTGGAGGAAGAGAATCCCATTCTGCATCTGAGTAAAATCTGTTGTTATTCTGGATGGCATCTGAAACAACCACCCTAAATAAACAGATAAACTTAACTTTTTCATGGTAACTTTAAGAAATAACATTTTATAACCAAACTATGCTAAATACAAACTCAAATTATATCACAATCATCTACATTAACTAATTATATAATATTGTTATCCGTGATAGAAAAGAGCAGCACCCAATCATACATCCTATCACGGATAAAAGAATTTTTCTTAACCTATTCAAATACAAACTATATAAGAAAGGATTAATCTTATCTAATATAGTTATAATACAACATATAATATAGCTCATAAATCAAAATGTTAAGAATTAAATCTTAATTCATACTTTATAATAAATTTATAAGCAAATTACATGCGAATATGCGATCCTAGGCCTCTGGCCGCCTATCAGCACACATACCACAATAGTACACTCAAAGGACATAAGAAATAATAATGCATGAATCAATTAAAAACAATTTATCCTAAGGTGGCAATATACAGGATACAACATAGCTCATAAGCCGAGGAGACGCTACAAGTTGCTAATGTAGCTTTACTCCTCCTGAGCCTTCCCTGACATCCCTCCTTTAAAGCTTTCACCTGAAAAATGTTAAACAATAGGGATGAGACAACGTCTCAGTAACTAAATCCCTACCTATCACACACCCTAGCATGGGCTAGCGAGGTGTCAGGTGGGATACACAGAGTTAATAATAATTGATAAATATTTATTTAACATTTAAACTCACAATAATCATATAAAACAAATATTTCCACCACTCTCATACAATTTATACATTTCAAAAGAGATAACACACTTGTCATTTATTTAAAAGATATAAATATCAATGAATATCTCATGTCATATGCAATTCCTGAACCCAAATCCATCCTTATATCCTCCTTATTTCCGCCGACTGGACCCATGGGCTAAGTTCTTTCCATTTGACTGGCAACTCTGACAAGCTCACCACACGAATGATGTGGACCGGCCAAAGACCACAGAGCACTCGGTGGACCATGGGTCCCCCCTCGAAGAACTAGTGGGGTGTCGCAGTCCCTCGAAGAACTAGTGGGACAATAATAGCAGCCAACAGTAGAGCTCCGTATGGAGGCTAATACCACGTGGCAAGTATATGAATCTCAATAACTCCAATTACCTCCTTTCCCCACCCAAAATAGATGCACAGGGTTCAAAATGACATATTTATATGCATAATTAATAGAATTTCATAATAGCACATCATAATTATGATCACCAATTTCTTACAATACAAACTATGTCAATCTTTTTTAAAATAGCATCCCACAAGACAGTTCATACAAAACATAATATACTTTTATAGAATTAGTTATAAAGCCGCTCACCAACTTCATACTAGAGCATGCAACAGATAGAAATTTAGTTACCTGGTCTCCTAGCTAACAGTCAACTACAACCAGAGTCCAACCTCGAAAATGCCACAATAGAGTTTATATCTACAAACAAAATTAAAATATTATCTCTATAGTATTAGAGTAGGCTACTCACAAAATTCTAGCCTCTTACTCCTCCTCTAAAACCTTTAATTTCACTCAGAACTCTAGCCTAAAAGACATTTCTCTAAGGTTTGGAATGAGAACATATATATATGATTTAGACTCGATTCCTAAATTTTCCTTACTTAAATATCCTTTAATTATTAGATTATATTATTAGAATCATCAAATTCATAATGCAAATAGACAAACTATAAATTTATAACTTATATTCCATCTCCGAAGGATTTAGACAAATAGACTTAGTACGAACCAGGTTATTCTCACTACAGAAGTTAAACTCTTAATCTAACCGTTGAATTTAATTTCCTATCTATCATGATACTATCCTCCAAATTATAGCTCAATCTAACGGCGACTGAACTTTAAAACACTAATTTACTATTCAAGACTCTATATGCTAAATCTAAAAGATATAAGTTAAAAACGTACCTAATAACTTGCAACTCGGAGATCAAAATGATGATCCAACCGTTGAAATTAACGATTTGGATGTCTCAAATGGGCTGACCAAATTTCAGTCCGATCCAACGGTTAATAAACTCAAAACTAGCACTTTTCTAAGAGTACCTCAGATATGTGCGAAAATTATTTACTCACTTCAAGCTCCACTCACTATCTCCTATATATAGGCTCCTCAAACTCCTTCACTCTAAAGATTAGTCGATGTGGGACTTCTTAACATTGCTATTTTATCTACTTCATATCATTTAATCAATGTGGGACTTCTTGACATCGCTATTTTATTCATTTTCTCATACACTAACACACACACACATAAAATCAGAATTATTTTAATTACATATATGTATATTTAACCTCTACCTATTCTATAAAAATTTGTTTAAATATTAGATATATAAAAACTAGGATGTTACAGCATCCATGTACCTTTTTTGTTCTTTCCTTCGTGTATATTGAATGTAAGATTGGTACCCTTACAATGTAATAATTTTAGAAACCTTAGAAATCTTCCTTTTCCCATAGTTTGCTCCCTCTAGCACACGTTCATTTATTCAAGGTATAAAAAGAGAAAGGTACACGTTTTTAAGCAGTGGCGGAGACAAGGGAATATGGCCCTTCAAGGCTTTTTCTTGCAATAATTATATAGGCGTTATTCATGTCCAGCCTCTGAAATTTATGTGAACTTTATGCTATGTGTTTCTTTTAATCTTAGCCCCCCACATTCTTAATCTTAACTCCAACTCCGAAATTAAGTTCATGCGAGTGCTAATGGAAGTCGAGAGAAAATTTACAATTTTTTTTTCACCAAAGAAGAATTTACAATTAGTGATGCCTTTCTTAGTACTGTTGGGAAAAAAAAACGGATCTACAGAAAAAATTGCCTCCAACTAAATTACTCTTCCGGTCTTAAGTATAAGATCTTTTTTGTAGTGTAATTTATACTACAAAAAGAGTCTTATATTTAGGACTGAAAGAGTACCATGTTTTGAGTTATTTTCTTTAATGTAATCATTTAATCCTATATATTATTTTTCTTTCTTCTCTCGTTACATTTTATTTCTCTTAAAAATTTTTATTGCTCAGATATTGTGAGGGTTCATATAAATGAGCGATCATGCTTCTTCATGTCTTTTTTTTTTTTGTAAGAGCGATGATATTTTTTAAAATGGTCAAGTGATGATAATAAAAGGATGAATTGTTAAAAAGTGTGCAATAAAATTTGAAAGTTAACTACAAATATTTTGGATTCTTTGCTTAATGTACATTAACATATCTTGTTAAGATTTTTATGCAAAGATATGATATTACAATTTAAAGAATTTTATTACAGATTTTTAGAGTGATTCATTGCCAGTTGCCACGCGAAAACGAAATTCACGCCTTACGACAAAGGCGCCAAATGGGTCCGTGCGTCGCACGCTGTGCCCACCTTGTTCGGATATTGTCCCACCCAGGTTCCCATCTTCGGTAGTTCGATCGATAAGCAGTTACCAAGCGAAGTTTAGTACTTTTTTCAGTTGGCTCGCAGGCGCGCGCTTTCGTTCACAAACACTGACCCACATGCCGTTTTTCATTTTCTTCTGATCCGCAGCTTCTACTGAATGCTGCCATACCACTATGGCAAATCCGGTCCCAGAAATTCAATCGCTTCTCTCTCCCACTATTCTTTTCTATGGCGAACCCTAAGGTTTCCCGTTTGATTTTTGCGTACCCGCATACGTACAGTAGCTAGTTTCGCAATTGCATCGTTTGTGTGCGATTGTAAATCTTGAACTTGAGCTCTGTCTGGGTTATCTGGCGATGGCTGAGGAGAGGGATGCTGAGAGAGGTGAAATCAGTGGTGGATTTTCGATGGACTCCACCGAATCCAGGTGGGTTTTCCAGGAGGACGAGGATGATTCGGAGATAGAGGAAGATGATGCAGATTCGCGGCATCAGTACGTGTTAGATTCGGAGGATGAGGAAAATGGCGAGCAAAGGCTAATTCGTACGGGCCCGCGAATCGACTCATTCGATGTTGAAGCTCTTGAGGTTCCTGGTGCCCAGAGAAATGACTATGAGGTGGTTTGGAGTTTTTCTGAATTGCTTTAGTTTCTTTCCTTTGATGGACTTGTCATAGTTTTCTTTCATTTTCCAGTGAGACTGAACCCTCATTAATACCCTTGGGCCAAAGCTGGGATTTTTTTTTTTTTAAATTTATAGTATTATTATCTAAGCATTTCGGGAAATGGGAAGGTGGTTAAGCTGCGAACCCTGTTTTTACGTGTTCATTTTCAGGAAATGGAGTGTTAATGTCCAGTGCAAAGAGTTTTCAGATACTATAACTAGTGTTCTGTTTGGGCCAAAAAAAATTCTGTTGACATGGAAAAGATATAAGAATTTAAATATACTTGTGTATCAAGGAAATTTTCTTTTTTTGAAAAAATTATTGATAATTTATGGAAAGAAAGACAACTACTTAGAGGGGAAGGGGATATATGATTTTGAAGGCATGTAATGCTACTGTTCTGCCTCTTTCTGGAGAATTATCGTGGAGACTTGATGTAGAAAGGTATTTCTTTGCGAAAGAAGGTAAGTGAAGCCAAGCACTGACCTTGTGGAAGTGGCCTATTAATTTTGACTTTGAGGTTAGGCAATCTAATGGGCATATGCTTCATTTTTGAGGAGTTATGATAATTGTTTGCATTTGAGCTGGAAATAAGTTTACGCTGCCCTGATACGGTATCTCTGATTTTCTGATTGCTAATGAGTTCTCGGAGCGCGTCATTTTTTTTTTCCTGGTTTCTATATCTAAAGCTTTCACTTTTCAGACTTTTGGGCCTGTTAAATTTGTCTGTTGCTTTCTTAGATTGCTGGAGTTCATATAGTGATATAAATTACTTTTTTTCTGTATATGGTTTGTGCTTGCCGTTCACCCTTTAAAAACCATTATTATCTCTTCGAAAGATGGTACATATGTAAACACAATCAAAACAATCCACGCATTGTCCCTTAGTACCTGTCATTTTCATTATGTTGCAGGATATCAGTGTGGGAAGGAGAATAGTATTAGCTTTTCAGACCCTTGGTGTTGTCTTTGGTGATGTTGGGACAAGTCCATTGTATACCTTCAGCGTTATGTTTAGAAAAGCACCTATAAATGAAAATGAAGACATTCTTGGAGCATTATCACTTGTTCTGTACACCTTATTCTTGATTCCTCTCGTGAAGTATGTCCTGGTTGTTTTGTGGGCCAATGATGATGGTGAAGGTTTGTTCAATCTTGTAAATTAATAGGTCAATGTTCCATCACTCTCTTCCTCTCGTGTTTTGTACTCAATCTTTCTTGTTTCTAAACCACTGCAGGTGGTACTTTTGCTTTGTACTCTTTAATCTGTCGTCATGCTAAGGTGAGTCTTTTGCCAAATCAGTTACCGTCTGATGCCCGCATATCAAGCTTTAGGCTGAAGGTTCCGTCCCCTGAGCTTGAAAGGTCTTTAAAAATCAAGGAAAGACTGGAGACTTCACTGACTCTAAAGAAGATTCTACTTGTGTTAGTGCTTGCTGGTACTTCTATGGTGATAGCTAATGGGGTTGTTACACCAGCTATGTCAGGTTATCAAATCATTTCAAACATTTCCAATATACTCTACTTTCTTTGGTCATAGTTTCTTTGGACTGATAGCAATAACATACCTGTAATTTTATCCAGTGAAATCGAAAGTGCCAAAAGGTCTGTATCAGGCCCTGAGGCAAAGGCTTTTGAAGGGGTCTTCACCACTTAATGATTTCAGGTGAGGCCCTTTCAGCCAGGTGGACACCTTTGGTATATTCCTGATGGAGGCAAGGCACTTGCCTCTATTGCCTTAGTGAAAATTCGGAGCCTTTCATTCTTCTCAAAATCCCTTTTATTTTGATGATAACACTCTGAAAACGCATATAATGGAATTATGAATTTATTTTATAAGCTGCGCTATCCCCATTGCGGCAATTGATCCTAAGTAGAGTCTTGCTTCAGTCTATCCAAACTTGATGATGCACATTAACTTCAGAGTCCTTTTTAATGCTCAGTCAAAAGGAAGCTTGGTCAGCTGGGGGTGGGGTTGGAGGGAATTTACAATAAATCTTAAAGGTGCTCACCCCAGCACCTGAGGACTGTGGGAACTAAAACAAGTTGGGATTGCAGGGGAGAATGGAGGTCTGGGCTATGATGATGCAAGATTATCTAACGTATCCCAAAGTTTAATCTGGTATTAGAATACTATAATACGATTCAATCAATAATCAATTTCAAGGATGGGCATGCTATACAGACTTGGAAGTAAGTACTTAAAAGTGTTAATGGAAAAGTGTTGCATTTTGATAATCATTCTCTTTGTATCAGTGTTAATAATCTAGTATTAGTATTCCAATTTTAGACTATCTCGGATAAGGTTTCTTTTCCTGTTTGTATTAATGGAAAATTGTTGCATTTTGATGACCGTTTTCTTTGTTTTCTAGACATAAATTTCTTACAGTATATACATAATTCTTTCTGCAGTACTTTCGTCTGTTGGAGGATTGAAAGTTGGGGTGGATGCGATTGAACATGGTATTGTGTTAACTTGTTTATCTAATCTCTCGCACTCATGATATCTGTTAGCATTTACTTTTAGTTTTCTGCATGCACAAATATATAATTTAGACTTTTTTCTCGTCTATATTCCTTCTTTGGAATAAACGTTGTTCTTTTCATTTATGAAGAACAGAAAACATTTTTTTTTTTGGGGACAGGATTTTTCATTGTGCATATTAATATTAATATTTATGCCCATCTGCAGGGGTCAAATTATGTAGCATTAATATTTTTCTTCTTTTCCCCATGATTATGCAGATGAAGTGGTGATGATTTCTGTGGCCTGCCTCATCGTTTTGTTCAGTGTACAGAAATATGGAACAAGTAAAGTGGGCCTTGCTGTAGGACCTGCTTTATTCATATGGTTTTGTTCCCTTGCGGGCATTGGGATGTACAATCTTCTCAAATATGATACCACTGTCTTGAGGGCATTTAATCCAATTCATATTTATTACTTCTTCAAGAGGAATTCTACTAAAGCATGGTATTCTCTTGGGGGTTGTCTTCTTTGTGCTACTGGTAATGCTATACTTTTTCTTTTGTCTTGCAATGGTATTACAGATTCTGACGCCACTGTTGGGATGATTGTGACTTTTATATCTGATGCCTTATGACATTGTTTGCTACAAATGTGTTGGATAAAATATTTTAAATGTGTTTCTTTGGGTGCTTTTTCAGAGTCAAAAGTGCTTTGGAGAAGCACCTCAGGGTATGCTATTCAAAGTTTTGATTAATATGTACTTCCTGGGGGGGACTTTGATCTCATTCTGAATATCTGAGTGTCTTACTATTATCCTTTTCAAATTTGAGACTATCCTTTTGATCAAAGTAATGAAGTTTTTTAGGCTTATTTCTTGTTTTGGATGAGACGAAGTTGTAGATGCATGGTTTTCTTTGACCGTTGAAGTAAATCTAGAAATTTGGGGGGAAAAAAAATCTGATGATGTTAGATGTATATGTGTATATATTGGGAGATTTTATATTTTTATGTCTAAGTTTACTGATAAGGCTTATTAAAGAAAAAAGTGGTTTGGTGGAATTCCATTGGTTAAATTTTCATTATACCTGATATGTGTTGCATGGTCTCTAATATATGATGTACTTCTTACCACTGTTAAGTACAATTTTCTTCCTGAGGCTTTTGCAGGTAAATATATGTCAGTGCTTTTTTCTTTTTTTCTTTTTTGGGTGACAAGAAGAATAGGATATTGCAGTAGCTGCTTACCTTGAATTAGTGCTGGGATTTAGGTGTTTTACAGTTGGAGTTTTGGGGTTCAAGATAATCAAAATTTTGCAGAATCATGGTTTTAGGAATTGGCTTTTCTTCAGTATGCACATGCCAGAACTTCTAAGCAGCAGCAAATTTAAAGCAACTAGAGTTAGAACCTTAGGGTAAAACAATAAGAAATTTAGTATTCCAATGGACAGGAGGGGAGCATTGTTCCAGCTTCAGGAATGTTGGACAGCAAGAAAGATGAAGTTAAGGGGGCTGTTATGTGGCTATGAACTTAGAAAACTGCATAAAAATCACTTTCAAAGATATAGTCAAAGGCCTACTATACTAAGGTTAATATATTTCCATATTTGAACTTTATTAAATTGCAATTCTGTCCTACACCTGAAAATTCCCACATACATAAATCATAGAAATGGTTTGAGACTTTGAGTAATCTGACATGTAAGGTTCTTCTTGGTTGACTCTATGTTCTGTTGACGATTGAGTGTGGTTAGCTCTCTGAATTCTGTATAATTTTGTGTTTAGTTATAAAGTTGGGCTGTAGGTATAATGCAAGTTCATTTTCTACAGTTTCTTGCTGTATCATTGTAAGGAGAATATGCATATAGTGAATTTGCCCTGTTTTTGAAGAAACTTGTTGCCCAAGTGTGTATCCAAAACTAAAGGGGATATTGGGTAGAAACCAAATCATGTTTTTAAAAGTAATTTTATGGTATACGAGATAAGTATATGAGAGGAATTTTGTCTTGAGTTTCGTGAAAGCACTTTTTTTAGGTGCTTTTACTTGATACTAAACACCTCCTTATGGTAAAGAATAATTTTTGGAACACATATATAATTATTTCTTTAATGCTTGGAGTATATTGGTGCAATTCTTCACAATTTTTACTGATCTTCGGTATGCTTATTTTGTTAACTCTCCTGCCAGCCACCCGAACTTAATGTTTTCCTATTATGCTGTGGTGAATGAATAGCATGGATTTAGCTATTGCTGAAGTATAGATAATCTCTTCAGTTCTTGTTTGACATTTTTACTGAATAATGCTGCAGGTTCTGAGGCCATGTTTGCAGATCTTTGCTATTTCTCTGTGCGATCAGTTCAGGTATAGAAGCAGCTAAACTAATGGCTTATTAAGCATATTAGAATTACAATTGCATGCCAGTGTTTTCATTTTCATTTCTTTTGCTTTTTCTTGTCAGCCAAATTATAAATGAAATTGATAGTGGCTGTTTGCAGCTTTCTTTTGTCTTTCTTGTTTTGCCATGCCTAGTATTGGGTTATTTGGGTCAAGCAGCATACCTTATGGAAAACCATGCTGATGCTGGTCGAGCCTTTTTTTCCTCTGTTCCAAGTACGTGTTGGTATCTATTCTTATCTGTAGTGGCACCTATTGTTCCATATCCTGGGTCATGTATGATTTACTCGATCTTCACTTAACACTGCTGTCTGTCTGCGCTGCAGGTGGTGTGTTCTGGCCTGTTTTTTTCATTGCTAATATTGCTGCACTAATTGCAAGCCGTGCTATGACAACAGCCACTTTTTCATGCATAAAGCAATCAACTGCACTTGGCTGTTTCCCTCGTCTTAAAATCATTCACACTTCGCGCAAATTTATGGGCCAGATCTATATCCCTGTCATAAACTGGTTTCTTTTGGCTGTTTCGCTAGTGTTTGTCTACTCTATATCCAATATTGACGAGATTGGGAATGCATATGGTATTGTGTTGTTTCAATTCCCATATTTTTATACTTTATTTCTGGGGACAAATTGTTACTTTTCACACATCATCTGTTGAGTTTTAACTGGATGATAATGAGGAAACCAGCATTGTAAAAGAAGCTTATGTTTATGCAATTATTAAGAATTTCAGGGGTAAAGAAAGGGAAGGGAAAGGAGTTGAAAATTTAATCACCATGTTCTTGGAGTTAGATTTGAATGAGGAGAATGGATGAAAAATGTTAGCTTTATAATCTAAATAAAATCAAATAAAATATTAACATTAAAATTTCACTTTCCTTCTCAATCCAAGCACACTCTTCCTCTGCTAGTTGAGAATAATACTTCTGGACCCTTTTTAAGAGATCTCAGCTGCATGAAAACCATCATTACCCTGCTTTTCAAGTGTTGTATGCTCAGAACAACCACATCCTGTATATTTTAATAATATAAATAGCTTTTGTATTTATTTCAGATATGGAATTCTTGAGGAGTGTTTGTTATCACTTTTATCCCATATATATGCGGACAAAAATTGCTGTTGAATTCCTGTAGAAGTTTTCATTTGAAAAGGGGGGAAGAAAAAGGAACACATATCTTAGGGCCATCTTATTGTCATCTCATATGATAAGGGACATGTTGCTTTTTACTGCCTCTCTTAGGTTAAGAATCCATAGTCTTTTTTGTTTTGTTTGGTCTTTTTTTTTTTTTTTTTTAAATGGAAAACTCCTTTACATGCGGACAAGGGTTTGGTTAGCCTCGTATTTTTTTAGCATCGATTGCTCTCTTTTTTGTCCTTTTTTTGGGAGAGTGTCTAGGTGTATACCATCTTGTTTCTCAGGCAAGTTTTCCCCCCCAATTGAATTAAAATGAGAATATAATTTCTCTCTGCTAGCCCAATGGGAGGATGGGAATTTAGCTGTCTTTAGTTTCTAGCCTTTGAAAATGCCTTACTGGTGGTGTAATAATAATGGTAATAGTAATAGAAATATGTAGATCTTCTAACTGTGCATGCTTCTCGTATTTAGCATATCCAATTTCTTTTTTCAGGCATTGCTGAGATCGGGGTGATGATGATGACAACTATTTTGGTAACCCTTGTTATGCTTCTTATATGGCAGATCCACATCATCATAGTTTTGAGTTTTGTGGTAGTGTTCTTGGGATTGGAATTGACTTTCTTTTCATCAGTTTTGTGGAGTGTGGGAGACGGAAGTTGGATAATATTGGTCTTTGGCATAATAATGTTTCTTATCATGTATATATGGAATTACGGGAGCAAGCTCAAGTATGAAACCGAAGTCAAGCAAAAGCTGTCAATGGATCTAATGCGAGAATTGGGTTGCAATCTTGGGACAATTCGAGCTCCTGGGATAGGTTTATTGTATAACGAGTTGGTTAAAGGAATTCCAGCAATTCTTGGTCATTTCCTGACTACACTTCCAGCAATACACTCCATGATTATATTTGTATGCATCAAATATGTTCCTGTTCCTGTGGTGCCTCAAAGTGAAAGGTTCCTTTTCCGGCGGGTCTGCCATAAAAGCTACCATATATTTCGTTGTATTGCCAGGTAGTTCTTTTATTTTTTATTTTGTGTTTTCTTTTGCTTCCTCTGGGTATCCAGGGTATGTAAATCTGCATTACATGAGATCAGTGGGGATTAAAAATACAGAACATGCTTAACATTAGAAAAATCATCTGCATTGGCAGAATGTTGTTATGTTAGTTTAAGAAACATTGCTCGCAATAGCTTTGCTTCAACTTATGCAAGGAATGATTTGTGGGACATCTAGTGAATGATTTCACATTATCATTATTTTCTATTTTGCATCTCAACTCTTTACATGTCAACAGATATGGTTATAAAGATGTTCGCAAAGAAAATCACCAGGCCTTTGAGCAGCTGCTAATAGAGAGCCTGGAGAAGTTCATACGTCGAGAGGCTCAAGAGCGATCACTGGAAAGTGATGGGGATGATGATTCAGATGCAGAGGAAGAGAATTCTGTTTCAAGAGTTCTCGTAGCTCCCAATGGGAGTGTCTACTCACTTGGTGTTCCTCTTTTGGCTGATTTCCAGGATACACACAACTCCATGGTAGATGCAAGCACATCAGATGAGGTTAACCTGGCATCGTCAAGCCCCCCAGTGTTTGATGCTGAGCAAAGTCTTGAAAGAGAGCTGTCTTTTATACGGAAAGCAAAAGAATCCGGGGTTGTTTATCTTCTGGGGCATGGGGATATAAGGGCAAGGAAGGATTCCTGGTTTATAAAGAAGCTGGTTATTAATTATTTTTATGCTTTCTTGAGAAAGAACTGCAGGAGGGGGATCACAACTTTAAGCGTACCCCACTCAAATCTGATGCAGGTTGGCATGACTTACATGGTTTGACAGCGTTGGTTTCGCTACCAAGATAAAACATGGAAGTGAGTGGTGCTTGGAATCATCTTCTTTTGGAGTGAACAGAATTGTTTATTTGATCATTCCTCATTGTTTGGATCCCCTAAGAGGCGCATATCTTCAGAGTTCATCTCAATTTTCCGTTTGTTACGTCGCGCTCTTGGATATATAGAAAGGGAATGGACTGAGAACAAAGAGAAATAGATATTTATTTTAAAAAAAAATGGTGGTGGCCGTGAAAGAACATTTTGGATGCATCAAATTCCACATATATTTGAAGACTGTCAAGAGAACAGCTATAGAATCTTTGTTTTTGTACAGTCGCAGCTAATTATGTACTCAATTTCATTCTTCCGTGGTTTTACTATGAGTTTGTGCAAGCCTTTCAATTGCTTCTTGTTCTAGCTTTGACTTTCTTCCAAGAGATAATGTACTGATTAGACCACAAATGAAATCATAGTTTCTTTGTAACATGATGCTTTGGGATTTTTTTTTTTTTTTGGATAGATACGGAAACCGAATGGGAAGAAGTTCGGAGTATTCAAAGTTATAAGGCGATAAAAGCATAGTGATCGGAAAGATTAAAATTTTGGACTTTGACATTAAATCTGAGGATTTCAATTTAATGAAGAATTTACAGGTTGAGTTTTTTTTTTTTTTGGGCAAAAGGTTCTTATTTGGGGGAAAAGTATACAACTTTTCTGTTTTTTTTTTTAAAAATAACTTAGAAACAGTTTTTCAATCATGATTTATAAAATATAAGATAACTATTTAAAAGAAATTTTGTCCCGATTTAATATAAGTGTAAACAAACAGTAAACTTGTCTGCAAATAGCAAAGTGATGACACTCTACAGGCAGCCTCATTTTCGTTCAAAGGCTTACAATAAGGCTTTATTTATTTTGTTATAAACAAATTATTAGGGTTTCCCGATATCAAATTATAAACTACAAGTAAATTTTATTTTGAGACACACAAATATGTATGTATGGGTGTATTGGACATTGTGGATGAAATAAATCTTCATAAGAAAATACTTTAATGTTGGATTCCAGTACAAAGGAGGCTCCTAAGCCTTGGAAGTAATGGAAAGGGACCGGGATCGAACTTCTGACATCATGCTCACTTCACCTGTAAGGATTGAGACCAGATGTGAGGGCATTAGCTCATTACCGAGAAGAGAATCAATGTAGTCGCGTAAAATACATCAACTAAGTACACTAGATATTCCCATCTATCATGCCAACTATATACAATCAACTTCACATTAACTGAGTCCTTTGAAAAATCTTGATGGATTGCTTATATTGAACACCAGCAATCAGCAAATTCTTCAAGATGCAGAGCGGCCAAGAACAGATCTCTTTATCAAATACCCCACCACAAGAAGCCTCACAGACTCGCCTGCTCATGAGTGAGTCTATAAAACATCAATAATCAACAATCCTTTTGAACTCTATACATATATCTAAGAGGGAAGCTATGTTTTGAAAAACAAAAATCATAAAACCTATAGAGATACATGTCAATTGATGAAACACCCTTGACTCCGGATGACCACCTTCTCTTTTATGGTATAACTCCTTCAGTCTCCATCTTCCGGACCTGCCATTGAACCCAGCAAGCTTCGTGTGAAGCAAATTTACTGTATACGCCATGGTAACATCTAAAATCTCATTTGAGAAGAATGATTTCAAAGGTGAATTTATAATGCAAAGGCACAACCATACTTTAAATAAGTAGGATTTTTCACAAACGAAATGCCCCTGAAAAAGGAAAAATTCAAGCAAGCCACAACACCATACTGACTTGCAGTTTTTCAGTAAATATGCAACTGAGTAGCACATAAGATGGACAGCAGCACAATCAGGGATCTGAATTGATAATACAATACCAAGTATTGCCAAAAAAAAAAAAAAAAAGCACCCAAGTTTCGAGAAATATGCAAGCAACTGGATATGAAGGCTACGCTGACCAAACAGCGAACAAAGAGGGATGTTTAGAAGTTTCAGAGACCCATACAGCAGTAGTTTGGTTTGGATTGACGAAGGTGGAATATTGAAGAGGAAGGCCTGAATGAAATTATTTTCTACATGAAAACATGTTAAATAACTTGAAATAAACCAAGGTTCTCTTTGTTGAAGCAGATTTTTTCCTCTCTTGTTCACACAACTTCATTTCATACACGGGTCAATGTTCACAGCAGTCAAGCAGATAGACAGAACCATTTTTGAGGGGCCACAGAGCATCTCAATATGTATTCTAGGCTTACTCAGGAATGGAAGTTCATGGATAGAAAGGTATAGGAAAGAGCTGTCTACTTTGCGGCTTTCCTTGATACATTGAAATTAAACTTATAAGTGCCAGGCTAATAGTATTATCATAAGCTTTATGATTCTATCTCGACATTCACATGAAATTTCATAAATCAAACATATTAGCACTGCATCAACTGTGGTGAAACGGTGAAAATTGTATGGAAACCGAATGGCACGATAAAAAAGCTGATGGTCTTGAATCTCTACCTTGAAGGCTAGACTTGAAGCCGCAGTTTGTTAAATGCTCTGCAAGTCCACCTCCTAATTTATTATGCCAATTTGATCCAGTTTTTGCTTCAGGTGCTGGCCAAACTGTTGCTATTTTTTCTGCCAGATTTACGCTAGCGGATGATACTTGGGGCTGTCCATTATTGAAAAAGAAAAAAGCATAGAACAGAGCCTTAGATAGCTGAAAATACAAGATTTACATGCTTATGTATTTTAAGAAGAAATATATCGTTAATAATCTATACCACATTTTCTCTCCTTAATCTTAGTCAGAAAAAGATAAGGTTGGAAAGATATTAACATGGATGTTAATTTCTACCTACCCCCGGACTCCAGGCTTATTAACATGAATCCGCAAGAACCATCCTTTTCACATCTAGTCTATATTTCCGTACAAAAAGTCAAAAAAAATGTCATGTAGTCACCAGAATGATGGATGCTCATGGAATTATATCACTACAACAACAAAAAATCCAATTTAAACCAAGCATTAAGTAAAGCCCGTAAACTTACTCGACTCTCCAGAAGCTTTTTCACACTATCTGCACATCCCTCGCACATCATACCCTAGCTCACAGGCGCAAAAAAAATATAAGGAGAAAGAGTAAACAAGAATTAAAAAAATAGAAAAATAAACTTCCAGAAAAAACGCACAGCCCATACCTCAACATTGAGAACAACAAATTCAGGTGAGAGGGACGAAAGTTCACCAGCCCGTCGGGAATCGTCATCTCTAGAAGCAGCAGAGGCAGAAACGCGTTGCAAACGACAGCGTTTAGGAATGGCCAGCGCAGAAAATCTCCTCGGCGAGAAGGCAGAGGAGGCAGAAGAAGGAACAAGAAAGGAAGAGGAGGAGACGAGAATGGTGTAGTTGGAAGGAAAGCATTTGAGTTGTATGGATGCGAAATGGTTCAGAGCTGAAATCGAAAGCGCCATAGGCGTAATGGCGTAATTAGCAATGGTGGATGGTTCTCTTTCTCGCTAGCTCTATGCAGCCGCAGAGAGTACAAATACAGATGAATTTTGGGATACGGATGCAATAAAAGATTTTGTTGGGCCAATTTAGATGAATTAAACGAAGCCCCTAAAAGTCTAAAACGGATTAGTCACTGATCAACTGGCGGAGGCAGTGATTTAATTAAGAGTCAATGTTGTACTGAACTGTACTAAGCAGACCCTAATCACAGTCACAGTTATAATAATATAATTTAATTAAACTATATAAAAATATTTATATATAATCCTTAAAAAAATAATACTTAAATAAATTAAAGAAGATATTAATTTAAGGTTAATCTCTATAAAGCACATGATAAAACAAAATAGACAAAATATTATAAATCCAACTTACTAGTACTTCTTTTTATTCTTATTATAATGAGTAAAATAAATGGACCATCTTTCTATTTTACTTAAATTATAGAAACCTTTTTTTTATTTTAAATATATATAAATCTCTTTTAAAATTAAAATATATGTTACACAAACCTCTTTTATATTTTTGAAATTTTATTTCTATTCATCCGTCTGTCAGTTGATCATTTAGTTTGATTTTCACACTTTTATTTTGATCAAAATATCTCTCTTTAAAATAAATGCCATTTAAACATTCATGTCTATAAAAAAATAATTTTTGATACAACAAAAATAATTATAATACATATATTTTAAAAAATTTTAATATGTTATAAAATTGATTAATTTTGATCATATTATAGAGTTATATAATTTTAATTCTTCATGAAATATTGAAACTTAAGATTTTTTTTCAAATGGCTAGAAAATATTTTAAATTATTATTTTTTATCATATAATAAATTATGTGAGTTTGAAAAATTATTTCAATTTATAATTTAATTTTTTTTAAAAATTTGTTCCAAACATTTATAAGTTATTTAATTTGATTGATTATATATTTATCTAAAGAACTAATCAAATTTCTATTCAATTTTTTTATGTTTACATTAACTAAATTACTTAATTTTCTGAGTCAATATGATAAAAATATTAAACAAAAAAAATTTGTAAAAATAAAAAATTAAATTAAGGTAAATAAAGGAAAAAATCTTAAATTTTTTAAAATATTTTTGTAGTCAAAATTTAGGAATTTAGTATTATGAAGGATAAATTAGTAAAAAAAAGTATTTCAATATAAATTTTAATTAAAAAATCTTTTTAGAATGTTCTTAATGAAATTAACAGTTTGAATTTAAATGCATGTTTTCAAAATAGAAGGAAAGTCCTTATAATTAAGACGAAATGTAAGGACGGTTAGAAAATTTTACTTTATTGCAATACATCTATTACGAGTAATTTTTTGATCCTAAATAGAAGTTACTGATTAACTCATTAATTATTATTCTTTTTTCATTTTATCCTTATTATTGATTGGGGTTTAGTTTTTTCTAAATAAGCTCTTCGAACATTGTCTTTCATCTAAATAGGGGTCAATTTAGAAAAATTATTAATTTAGGACTTCAAACATTGTCTTTCATTTAAATAGGAGTCAACTTAGAAAAATTATTAATTTAAAATAAATTTGATGAATTAACTATCATTCTTTAGAAATGCCTCATAATAAGGATTAAAGATAAGGATTAAAGAGAACTTTTTTCTAATTCTTCACTCAAAACGACATCATTTCAAGATTAGTAAAAATCTAATTTAGCCAATTGGTCCAAAATTCTTGATTGAATTGACTAGGAAAGTGATTCACCAATTACATTGATGCTATCCAAGTTAGATTTTAATATCATAAATTAAAGTATTAAACAAAACATTGCATCCATGAATAAGAGCCAGTGTGTCTCTCTAGAAAGCAGGTGGTATATATATTCATTGGTGTAATGTGTGGGATTTGCATTAAATGTTAACTTTTTAATCTAAAATATTACTGGGACAAATATCTGCGGTGCACGTATTATATCACATGGAGAAAGAGGTTCTTCTAAACTCCAATCCCGACCACTATAGTCTCTCTCTGCCCAAATCTACAAGCTGAACTAAAGTTATTTGCTGACATTTATGACTACAATCAAATAATGAAGGTCCTCTTTATGTTTCTACGATTTTTTATTCTTCGAAAATTCACCTCCTGATTTAATGAAGAAAATGTAACAATTTGCTGCAAATGAAGAAGTCTCTTATGTAAAGATAGAAAATATCTCCTTGTTGCACGGTAAAGCTTAATAGGTGATTTTTCCCTCCAAAACATTACAATGGAGAAATAATGTAAATACTTTGCTGTGAATGATATCACCCAATACAGTACTCCAAAACATCAATAACAAATTAGGTTCTCAAACTTCAAACAATTTAAGTTCCAGTCAACTGATACTTATTACTGCAATAAGCCTGGGAACTACTTCCATATAAATGAACAAGTCTTTATCAAGTACTAAACCAACCCATACCTTGAACTAAGTCAAAATCCTCGGAATGCATATGACAACCTGAATGGTAATTTGGCTACACATGACAATATCCGACTATTAGAGCTTCTGTTGAAGAAGGATTCCCAACAAAAGTGCAGTTTTCCTCAATTCAGCCACACAAGAAGGCCATTGATTTTCCACCTTTTTTAGTTCTTGGCTTGCTTTTGTTTGTCCATCCACCACATAGGACTTGTCTTTCTTCACAGCCTCGTACTCTTCCATGAACCCTATGGTGTCCAAGACACATTCGTTCTTTTGCTTGTGAAGGGATGTCAGTTTGATTTCACAGTCTTGAAATTTTTTTTCTTTGCTTTTTAATTCAGCCTGCAATCTGGTGATCTGCTCCTTCAGTTCAATCATATAATCCTCAGCATTACGAATTTCAGACACAATCGTAGTAGCTGCGTCCATCCTTTGAGAATGTTCTTCACCAATCTGCTTCTCTTTTTCTTGAAGCTTGGTGAATAAGTCAAGGTTATCAGAAGCTCGCTTGAAGGATGAGAGAAATCTTTGGATTTCTTGATGAAGAAAGTCTATTTTGCCTCTAATAAGGCTGTGAGAGAAAGGTTCTTCTTCAGAAAAATGGGTGGACAAGAAGTCGAGTGCATTCTCTAGGCGATTAGTTTGTTCTTTAGAGTTAATTATCTGATGGAGATCCATTTTCAATGAGGATTCTATGTCAGCAAAGGCCTTAGCCACCTTGTCGTCTTCAAGAGCAGCAATTTTAGAAATACAAGGCAGGCCAACTTCCAAGTCAGAGCCATCCTTCATTATTTGAAGTAATCTAATAAGATCATCATCAATGGAGGTCTCTCTTTGATTAGCCATAATTTGACCCTGAAGCAAATGAAGTGAAGCATTAATGTGCAAAGTATTGTATAATGAATACACGCGGGTATTAGTTGATTACCAAATTGTACTATCCTAGCATTAGTATATGCCAGTTTTAGACTAAAATTAGATCCCAAAACTGATGCAATACAGTGAAGGTTTACTTGTGAAGATTGATCAGTAACAACAGAGCTCCCTGATTTCATTTCCATGTGAGTAGTTGAAGTTTCTATTTGAGGATTTTTGGGAGAAGAGATGGAAGAGATCTAAGAGTAGAAATAGAAAAATTAATCTGAATGGAAATCAATAATGTATCAATAGTGCAAATATATTAAAAACCAATTATTTACTCCTGAAGAGGTCATCCTAGTAACAGATGGTGAAATTATCAATGCCATTTCATTTGATATTTCTTTGGAAGAACATTCATTGGGGGGTTCTTCAACCCTTTAAGGAGCTTCATTGGAACTGCTACTTTGTCTAAGTGCTTGTTGATCACCCATCGATTCCTTTCCACATAACTCCTAAGCAAAGGAATGAATAAAGAACAAGACATGAAGTTAAAGCTAAAATTATTGAATTCAGCAAGCTTACCTCAGAAGTATCTGATGTATGAGGTTTTTCGATTTTTGGTTTTGAATAAGTTGAAGGACTTGCTTTGTCATATTTCTCTAAAGAAGGACCTTCTCTAAAAATTGCCTTTAGATTCTGCAAACACCAAATTATCCTAAATGAACAACAATATGAAAAAAGCTGCTGAAAGTTATGTCTTCTTATCATAAATTCAGCCTATACCAGGAAGCACAATATTCTGACGGGTGGAGACTCATATTCCGAAGGAATGGAAAATGTTGTTGACTCATCTAATTTAGAACCTTGGTGAACACTTAGCTCCATTGTTTCTCTAGCAATCTATTACATAGTGCAGATTAGTAAACTAGATTGCTGTTACTTTAGTGTCATCTCTTTGTTTGCTTTTACCTGCTAGATTTTGTTCTCCCTTAGGATCTACATGCAAGTCACATTCTTGAAAAAAATAACAGTCTCTTCTATAAATCAACTATAAAAAATATTGACTATTAATCAATAATTACTGTCTTTTAATTTTATCCTTTTGCAATTTTCTATGTAAGAGGTTGCATATGAGAAGGATGAGTGCTTTTGAAGATGTGCATATTTAATAAATATAAATTGCAATTTTTTTCCTTTTACAATTTGTTGGTATCTTAAATCACTTTTAATAAGTCTAATGTTAGTGTCAACTTTAATATCCAAGTCTTGCAGTAGGCTCTTACTAACTCTTGTCTACAGGACAAAATCATTACTATTATAAGACATTTCCATTTCCAAAATGCTACATAATGGAAATAAAACTCAGTATGTGTGTGTGTATATATATATATAAATGAATGTATTAATTGAAGAGTAATCCTTACCATGTCTGAATCAGGTAGTGGAGTTGTAGAGAGTTTTCTTTCAACAATTTCATTTGCTGATGTATTGGTACTCTACGTAGCACATAAAATATGAACGAGTTACTTAAAAAGGTTTAAATAATTGAGGAGCATTCCACATGATATATTAATTTTAAGAGAAACTATTTGACGGTCTGAATCCCTGTTATTAATAGCCACCATAAATCTTAGCACACAAAATAAGCCAACGTGTTAATTTATGCTATACAAATGAATAAGACAATGAGATAAGAGAGAAATCCTTAGCATCTGCTTAGTTACAGAAAGGTATAATATATGCACATTTGCAAAATTTTGGTGAACCATTATTCTGTAGGGGCATTGTTGAGTCTTTTCCAACATATTCTGGTGACCTCTCTTCTTCAATCTAAACAATAATAGAAACTATATAGTAGTTTACTATCGTGTCAACTTTGATCCCTATTAGAGGCTTACCTGTGCAGATTGATCAGTAGCAGCAGAGCTCCCTGATCCCATTTCCACATGAGTAGTTGAAGTTGCTATTTGAAGCTTTTTGGGAGAAGATATTGAAGAGATCTAAGAGCATAGAAATAGAAAAATTAATGTGAATGAATATCAATAATGTATCAATAATGCAAATATATTACAAAGCCAAATATTTACCAATGGAGAAGTCATTCCAGCAACAGATAATGGAATTGTCAACGCCATTTCGTTTGATGTTTCTTTGGAAGAATTTTCATTGGCAGGTTCTTCAACTCTTTGAGGAGTTTCATTAGAGCCTCTACTTTCTCTAAGTGCCAGTTGATCACCCATTAATTCCTTTCCACATAACTCCTAAGCAAAGGAATGAATAAGCAGCAAGACATCTATTTAAAGCAAAAACGACATAAAAATATAAAAAGAGATAAATTGAGTTGAATTGTCCGATAAACTTTGCATATCTTGGCCCACAAAGAAGAAAAACGATTCTAGATTTATTAACATTCTGCTGGAATTTGGGACAGAGGAAGAAGACGACAAGTGAGAAAAAAATTTGTTAGCTCCTTTGAAGTTTGTTGATTATAGAAAAGTATAATGCATGTACATCGGCTTGATCTTGGGTACTACTGTTCTGTTCTGATATTGTCTTGTCTCTCTCACGAGCTTCCTCTGATTCTTGTCGTTGCCTCTAAGAAATGATAATAAAGAAATTAATGAGTTGAAGTCATCAAGAAAGATAGTAATTTTAGCCCACAAAATAAGAAGGCCAGGGAAATTATTGAATTTCCACCAAAATTAGAAGTCTAGCACTAACCTCTTCAGCCCAGCCAAGAATAATAGGGCAGTAGTCGTTATCATCTATGAAGCTCATATTTTCTTGTGGTAACGGATAATTGAGATAATCAAATACTGCGCAAGCAAAACCATAATTTCCTTATTATTAATATGAGAAGAAATAATACATAGCACTTAGCAATTGTGATTAACTACGTATATGTGAATACTTACTATCAGAGGAGCTGACATTAGTAGCTAAACGGATATTGTTACAATCACGCACAAGACGGATTTTCACGGTTTGGAAGTCAATTCCTTGATAGATAGTATGAAGACTTGGAAGATTTGCCAGTCTTATTCCAAGTAGATTTGGAAGCACATCCTTCATGATCAACTCTTGTGGCGCACCCTGCTTCCATTCAAATACTTGCACAAGCTCAGGAGCATCTTCTATGTGCAACATCAAGAGACTTGGAAGTGTAGCACACATGGAGATAGAGAATAGGCATTTTAACCTCTTGCAGTGCATCACTGCAATTTGGAATAGCTTTGGGAAACATGGTTGACGCAGATCCAAAGGATGTTGCTGATTCTCTTCATCATCCTCAATTATGCTCACCAGCTCTTGGCAGTCTGATATGAATAGCCTTCTCAATTCTGGTATGCTTCTTGTGGTAGATGCAGACAGTATGAACCTTAACTGTTTGCATCCTACAAATGTTAGCCAGGAAAGGTTTTGAAAGCTCAAAGAATTTTTAGGTCCCCTGCATATATCCCTTAAATCAGGCATCTCTTGCAAGTTGGAAAGATGCTTACCTTTCCCCTTGAAAGATAATGCCTATGAGTATACAATTAAGATACGTTAGTATTAAAAACCTCTTCAGTTGATCAATTATAAACTAGAGAAACAAACTGGAAAGAGGTTTACCTTTTTCCTTGAGAGACATTCTTGTTTTTTGTGTCCACCAACAAAGAAATCTATCAAAGTTTGGGGAAGCTGTAGACATCCTTCAAAACTAATGTATTCTAGATGTAATGCCTCCACGTAATAGTTTCCTACGCAAATACTAACCATATTTGGGACATCTTCAAGGCCTATTTTTTCTAAGGCTGGGAGATTAAGTTTACCCTGGACATTATGATTCTCATCAGCATGACATTCTCCAAACACATATTTCATCTCTCCTGCCTCCTCGATGCTCACAGATTTCAAGTCCTTGAAGTCTTTTGAATAAGAAGCTGGGAATACATATTCCAAATTGTTACAGCGGCAGACATAAACTTCCTGTAATTTGGGAAAGATAGAGTGAACATTCACATGACCAAGTCTGGTAGGCCCATCGTCGGTTATTATATGCTCCAGTTTATTACAGCGCCGAACTTCCAATGTTTCCAGCAATTTCAATGATGAGGCAATGGATATGGTAAAGAGTGATGTTAGCTCAGAAAATCCAGTTATCTCAATCTTTCTCAAATTGGATTGATATAGCGGTGATGATAGATATCCATGAGCTGTACTTGGCACATGCTTTGCTGTTGAGGCCTTGCTTAAATTCAAACATGTGAATTCTTTTCTTCCTTGTTCCTGATAAACACATATGATTCTCCTTCAATAAACTAAGAGCGTTTTCATATGTTATTATATTTAAAAAAAATAGAAAGTACCTTATTTTGTTCTATATACAGAGCTTGCATAGAAAAAGAAGAATTCAAGAGAAATTTTATTTAACTTTTCTGATAATTTATATATCCATAAATATTTTTAACTTCCCCCTAATTTTTCTCATATTGTAAACAAAAGAAATGCTAGGTTTAAATATAAAATAAATCCAAACTGAAATTTCCATCTCTCGCTTTTTATTCTTTGCTATTTAAACAATTACCTGGAGGCTATAATTATATATTTTATTCTGAATGTAAATTTTCAGCATCCTAAATACTTTAGCTGATGAAAAAGTGAAATAATGAGGCAAGAGTTAACAATCTAAATGTCTTAAAAAGTAAACTGCGAGTAACACAAGACATATTTTTAGACGAGTCATCAGAATTAATAATATGTGTGTCAACACACCCACAAAAAATTATGACAAGCAGAAATCTTCACAAAATAATAAATTTTATCTATTTCGATTTTATAAACTAAAAAAACTAGCTGGAAAGAAGTTTACCTTTCCCTTCAAGAGATCTTCACTTTTTTGCACATCAACAGATAGATCTGTAACATTATTTCTGAGAAGCTGTGGACAGTTTTCCAACCGTATATTTTGTAGAGATAATGCCTTCACAGAATAGTTTCTGGTGCAAATACTAACCATATTTGGTACATCACAAAGCCATAGTATCTTTAGATCTGGAAAATTCAGTTCGATATGAACATTATTACGCCTCTGATTCGAATGACACTTTCCAAACACATATTTCAACTTTTCAGCATTGAAGACTCTGACTTTCTTTAGGTTGGAAAAGATATAACGATCATTCATATGACTGTAAACATGCCCCTCATCTGTTACTATATGCTCCAGTTTACCACAGTTTCTGATTATCAATTCTTCCAACAATTTCAACGATGAGGCAATCGATAGGGTAAGAAGTGACTTCAACTCAGAAAATCCCGCTAGTCTCATCTTCCTCAAATTCTTATATGGATATAATGGAGACGTAAGAAGTCCACTAGCTCTACCAAGATGTTTCTCCTTTGATGCCTAAATTACATTCAAGTATTTGTCAATATGTTATTACATTACAAAATTACAATCATAGCAAGAAAAACAAATGAGAGATAAGTACCTGAGTATGGTCTAGTTGATTGGCCTTGGAAACAGATGGTTCATTAATAGTTAAGGCACTGGCATTTGCAGATAAACAACATAGAGGGCCCCATGATTTCTGCACCTGGGAAGTTTGTGGAGGATAACATTCTGGATATATGTTCATGAATTTTGGTACGTTTGCAATGTCTATTTCTTGAAGTGAGGGGAGTATGATTTCCTTTTTCATTCGACCCATTCCTCCCTCCTCTAAACATTGCCAAAATATATATTTTGGCTCATTACAACCATGGATTGTCGCACTTTCTAGCTCTTTGCATGGAAAAATCGGCAATATAAATTCCAATTCATGACATTCTTCAACGTTGAGAAACTTCAATTTCGGGAACAATGAGTGATGGTTCTTTTTATTAGGATCTTGATGATCATCCACTTTCTGCTCTGCTGATCTCTCATCGTCACTTACAAGGCATTTCAGCTTTGAGCATCCCCTTATGTGCAACTTCTCCAATTGCTTTAGACTCTGAGCTGTGGACAGATGAAAAAGACATGTCATCGAACATACCTCTAACTCTATAGACTTAAGATTACTTAGCTCTAGTTTGCCGTTGAATAATGTGCCATCTAGTTCAGCACAAGAACTTAAGTATAGCTTCTCTAGTTGCTTGAGAAAGTTGCTAGGAGAATCACCATGACATAATTCCCTCACACGCATATCATGAAGTCGCAGCTCAACTAAATTGGAAAATATGGTTGCATCATATTGAATTCCACTCATATTGATGAGGCATTGTATTGCGGGCCAAGATTTCAAAGAAAGCCTAACTAAGCCATTCATGCCTTCATCTTTATTAGGATGAACCATATCAGGAACAAGATTTGTCCATCTTGTTTCATTACATTCTGTTAACTCGAGAATCTCTGCCCTTGCTGTCAGAGATTTGATTGTGCTTTCAGACAAGATTCCTTGTAACTTGGTTGAATTGAAATATTTTTTTGTCGAAGCATCCAGTTGAAAAGAACGCTTGTAGAAGTAGATGCCTTCTATATGATATAGCTCAAACTCTTGGTGAAGATCTATAATTTTAGAAGGCTTTGCATTATTTTTAAGAGTGTCATCATTTGAGACATAATACAATGCTTCAAGTTTTGAGCATCTCCCAATCACTTCAAATGGATTATTCCTTTCAATTGAACAACGTACCAAGCCCAGCAACTTCAATTTCTCTAGTAGGCTAATATCATTTGGCAGTTCAATAATGGAACAATCAGTCAATTCAAGAGTGATGAGTTTCTTTAGCTTTTGCAAAATAGATATATCACCCAACTCCCAATTTGTTAGGGACAGTGTTTGGATATTTTCAAGTGAATGAATTGATTTTGGTAGTGACAGGGCCACTGTTCTCTGAAACTTGGAACACAAAAGCAAAACTCTAAGTCCCTTCATACCTCCAAAGAATGCCTTAGGAACTTCTAAAGAACGACTAGCATTTACCCATACTAAAAGAACCTCAAGATTGTTGCCCCCAAAAAAATCAGAAAAGTCATCTATCATCCAAGATGAGTATTTTACATTCTCCTTCAATTTACTCTTAGAATCTATCATTACTTGAATCTTTTCATCTCCTATCTGATGGGCCATATCACGAATCACATCATGCATCTTTACACATCCTTGTCTAGCAGTCAACAATAAAGCAGAACGTACAAGTGTGGTTTTGATCGAAAGCACCTGACTTCTAGCTGTGTAGTAGCTGTCAACATTTTCACAAAGCCCAAAACCTATAGCAATTCTGCTCAAAAGCTCTAAAGGTATTTCATAAGCTCTTGGGAATAAAGAACATAGCAGGATGAGATCTTGGGCTCCTATATCTAGGCACTTGAAGCTTATTTTCAAAGAATTATAAAACTTTTTCTCTTCTTCATCAGTATTCTCATGCCTTAAGGATGAAGCTTTTTTTGTTACCACAAAAGCATCCTCCCATTCATTTGGATCCCAGTTTCTGTATGTTCTTGCTAATGCTACCACTATGACTGGTAAGTTTCCACACTCGTTCACAACTTTTGATGCCAACAACTTCAATTTATTAGGGCAATCCTTCCCACTTTCATGAGCATGATGTAGGAAAAGATCCACAGCATCTTCCTCAGGTAAGACCCCCAGTTTAATGGTCTCTTGGCAGCTCATTCTTCTACAAATTGTCTCATAACGTGTGGTTAGCAAAACACAACACCGGCCTTGGGTATGGATGCCACCGTAAATCCCTATGTTCTTCAGTTTGAGCTCTTCCCAGACATCATCAAGTATTATGAGTACATTTCCAATGTTAGTAATTCTTATCCATATTTGTTCTGTTAAATCCTTGCCATTCTCTAACGTCAGTTCCAATTTCTTTGCAATTTCATCTTGACTTTTCTTTTCATCAATAGGGTTGGGCACTTCAATAAAGATAACTTTGTCAAATGTCTTTGAATTTTCAAGTTCCTTCCCAACTTCCTTTGCCATTGTGGTCTTCCCGGATCCTCCCATTGCTTGCAATCCAATCCTATAATTATTGTCATCTTTCAGCTTCTCCCTAAGTTGTTCGTAGACTGAGTTTCTACTCTTAAAATGCATAAACTCTTGTGAACAGAATTCCATGCCTGGACGTTCCGCTGTGTGTGCAACTTGTGAGAAGTTCCCAGCTTTCTCCGTTATTGTTGGAATCTCTTGCATGATGCGCTCTAATTTCTTTGCCAGTGAATACTGTGAAAACCAATCAGTACAGAAACCAAACCATTTCTTTGGCCTTGTTTCTTGCTGAATAATGTTGTTGGCTTTTTTAACCCAGTACTTAACTGTCGGGTCAATTTGAGTCTCATTTCTTCTTTTGGCTTCTTCTATCTTCATGTCCACACTCTCCACTGCAGCTAACAATTCTTTTTTCCTCTCTTCAAAGTCAGCTGCATAACTCTTGTAACAACACAAATATGGAAGTTCCTTCATTACTTTATCTACCAATACCTCGGTACATTTTGTTGCAGCAGCACTACCAGCCATCTCCGCCATCTATCATGCATAATGAGATTATACAATTTCAAAAACAACAAGATCATAATGTGATACCTAAGGCACACACCTACTATTATCCAAGATTTCAATAGCATAAAAACAAATCATAATATTCAAAATCTTAGTATTCATATAGTGCGCAAAATTTCGCAGCCTCGTTATTTTGAATGAAGCATTCCATTGTAGATATGACAGGGAAGTTAAGCTCACAATCCATTACACACACAGACAAAGTGTTATGAATCTCGAATCTCACAAGAAAAATTGTATTCTTCTAACAAGTTAATATTTTAAAATACCTCCGGTCCTATTTATAAGCTTAACATTTGGAAAGGAGTGTAGTCCATTTTCCAAGCTTTAATTTTGAGTTTGTCTTAACATCTAATGTATTTTTTCCAATTTCGCCCTTAATTATTTATGTTCTCTCGTATTTTCTCTTATCACATTTTCTCACACATTCTCTTTCATCCTTTTTCTCATTTATTACAAGGGCGTATTTGGAAACAAAAATATATTTCTAACATATTTATTGTTTTTGAATAATTTTAATTAATTATTTAATATTCGTGAATTAGTTATTTGAAATTTATAATAAAGATAAGAGGAAATAATTCATAACATTAGTAGGTTGATGGGTAAAGTCATCATATAACCGTACTGCCTCCAAAATTTAACTCAAAAAAAGAAAAAAAGAAAAAAGAGACGAAGCTACTGTCTCCAAAATGACTGTACTGCCTCAAAATCTCTCTAATATAATGATGATTTCAAGAAAAATTATTTTGGTTTAGTGTCAAAATTTGAGACGGCCTTCTCTAATCTCTTTCTACCGTTTTTTTTTTTTTTTTGCTTAACAAATTTCTATAATTTTTTTAAGCTAGAGACGGGATTAAAGAGGAATAAAGTTTACAGGTTAAAGATAGAAGTTATTTGTCTCAAAACCCGTCTCTAATTTTTTTAATTTTTGTTTTTTTTTTACATTTTTAACGTTATAGATAGAAATAGAAACTGCTTGAATTACATATTTTAGAGATCCGTTTCCAAATACGCCTCTAATTCAAACTAGAGATGTATTTAAAGTCAATTTTTTTTCCAATTTTGGAGTTATCAATGTGCTTTTGATACATGTTTAAAGGTTATCAAGATGAAAATTAATAACGACGGAAGTAGAAATTTCCAATCCTCGTTAATGACCTTCACACAAAAGGAGAGCACGAGAAGTTTTTATGTTTGGGGTTAATGTGCCTTGAAATTTGAATGATGATCATGGCTAGCGACGCACAATACAAGGAAAATATACTCCCTCTGTTCTCCAATAGAAGTTGTTTTAACCAATTCATTAATATTAAAAAATGATAGTTAATTTATTACATGTGTTCTAAAATATTTTTTTTAACTTTATCCATATTAAATGAGGTTATAAATGAGGAAGAAAAATATAAGGAAAAATTCCAGAAAAAGAATCTTGAAGTTAAAGTATTTCAATTCAGGCACCTAATACTTCAAAATGACAGAAAAAGAAGATAAATTCAAATTGAAATTTTCAAATTCAAGTCAATTACAAAAATACCTCTTTCTTTTGACAAAAATTGGAACCCCTCACCGACGACTGATTGCTGGCACCATCGGTGAGTTGGCTGGGAGGCTGGGAGTTTTTTTTCCTTTTTTTTTTGGTTGGTTAAGGATAAGGATTTATTTTTAAAATGGGAAAGAAAGTGGTGTTTGTAGGATTTGATCTCTCAACCATGTGGTTACCAAAGCTAAGCGTAACACAAAAAAATTATAGATTAACTCATTTATTTTGACCCTAGCTTGTGCCAACAGTTAATCTGAGAAAAAACGAGTCTTGATTGTAAAATGATAAACCTGAAGTTGAGATTTAAAACATGTTTTGTTTCTAGATATATAACATATGAATTAATTAAAAATAATAAAAATTTATGTGAGAATAACAAGTTGTGATTATAAAATAATAAGTTTAGAATTAAGATTAACAATATTTTTATTATAATAATTATATTATTTATAATTTATAAAAACACAAAAATACTTTTTAATTACAATAGTTATATTATTTATAGTTTATAAAAATACTTTACCTCTAATTAAAAATTCCATAAGTTTTCGCACACGTTTGGTTCAAATGCAATGAGTTATATAGATATATAAATTAAAAAATATTTATAAATTATAAATAACTAATTATAAGTTATAAACAAAGCTATAATTAACCAAAAAGTATAGCTTATAAATAATTTTATATTATATATTTCTGTAACTTATTATAAATTACAATACTTTTATCAATTATAAATAATATAATTAGTAAAATTTAAAAGTATTTTTTATATTTTTTATAAATTAGAGGTAAAGTATTTTCATAAATTATAAATAACATAATCATTATAATAAAAAATGTGTTGTTAGTCTTAACTCCAAGCTTGTTATTTCACAATCAGGTCTTATTCAAATGAGATTTTATTATTTTTAATTGATTCACCTGTTATGGATTTGAAAAAGAACGTGTTAATTCCAACTCTAGACTTGTTATTTTAAATTAGGACTTGTTGTTTCGGATTTAATTATTGTTATGAGTTGGGGTTAAAATAAATGAGTTAACTTATAATTTTTTTTTCATATTGTAATATTAAAAGATCCTCCTGGCCTAGTGGTAACCTTTAGGGGGACTAAGTCCCATCAACGCCACTCTCCTACCTTTTCCAAAAAATCTTAGCCAAAAAAAAAAAAATCTACCAGCTCCTACCGACAACCAACTCACCGGTGGCCAGGGCCAGACCTTTGGCGTCAGTGGCTGGGCTCCGATCCATTATTTTTTTTCAAAAAAAGATCTATTTTTGTAATTTGACTTGAATTTTAAAATTTTGATTTGGGCTTACCCTTTTCTGTCATTTCGAAGTGTCAAGTGTTTGAATTGGAATATCATAATCTTAGGATTCTTTTTTTGAAATTTTTCAAAACATAACTGGATACTTTTGACTTTTGAGTATTAATTGTCAGAATAAAATTGACAAATAAGCATTAATTATTCTTCAAGTGATTAATATTTTGAAACAATCCTTCTATTCTACAATAGAAGCGACTTATATTGTGGATTCGAGGGAATATCATAAAATCAAATGTTAGTTTTTGAAAGTATTCATTTGATCTTATCTATAGAGTAGTAAAAGAAGGAATTTTGTAGTCCTATTTATAATGCAGAGAGAGAAATTTTTTATATGAATATATAATTTTAATATTCATTTATTATTATGTTGGTTTTTTTCTTATGTGGAATATTATATATTAAACAAAAATAAAGTTAAAAATTTATTCAATTTTTAGACATAATTAATAAAATTTAAGGTTTTTTTTTACTATATATAAAACATGTTTGAAGTGACTTTTAAATAGAATGATACAAGTATACTTTTATTACACTTAATCATCTACACTGTATTTACCCTCAACTTTGAGACCTATAGTAGGAGATAGATAGAGAAAATAATTTAGGAAAAGAATTCTGTATCACATAACATGGGAAATAGCTGGCCTTTTTATTAGTTAGGATTAATACCTTATTTAGTTCCTAAAATTTAATTTTATTTTGATTTTAATTCTTAAAATGTGACTTTATTTTGCTCTGCTTAAAGATTTTTATCCTCCTGATAGTATTTTTGGTCCTTGAGACCTTATTTCAAATTCTAGAGATCAAATTAAAATTGTGTCAAATTTCATCTAATACAGATGATATTAATCCGTAAGTAGAGTTATTATAGAAAACGCAGGAGGGGTAGATTCAATTGCAATTATTTACACGTATAACTCAAAGTGTGTTTATGTCCCATACGCTTGCGCACAACTGCCCACAGATATAGAGAGCTCATTATATCAATATTACGAAATTCTATACTTACCTCTTTTTTAGGTATTTCAAATTCTTTGACTGCAGGGCTTTTATTCTTGCTTCTTCTTTTTTCCCAACGTCCTTCTTCTTGTTTTAACCCTAGTAAATAAACAACATTGATTCAAACATTGAGAAAATTAAAGAGAATAACCCAAATTGTAATAATGACGTAAAATATAAAACAAAAATAACCATGTTAATAATACGAAAATTAGATATAATCACATGCTCAAATTCTAATTTTTATTATTACATGTTGACGGGGAGATTAGTATTATTGGATGGAACTTTTAATGATTCTATGGTAGAGAAGGGCCTTGCTCCATAACCAATCTGAAAATAATATATGGGGGCCACAATATCCCTTGTTGAGAAATAATTCACAATTCAATTTATCATTATTTTTTCACCATTTTTTGTCAATATATTGTGTAGAATTAATCCTCTGGATCTTATTACAAGTCCATTTTACATTACATATAAAAGTTTTTAGATATGTAATTTACAATCCATTTAATGCTATTCAAAACACAATTTTATACCGCATATATGAAAATTTATTTAGAGATAATTTGAACTCATCTTCTTAATTTACAATAAAATTATGGAAAAAAATTTATATACTTAAACCTGTATACTTAATACACTTGTTTCCACTTAAAATAATAAATGTGTGTTATTGACCCGACAATGTCAAGACCTTCAAGCAAGTTCAAAATTTGAATTTTTAATTCAACGTGTGAAGAAAGAATTACGTTTGAATTCTTAATTCTTACATGTTTTCGGTTTACCCCTTCTCCTACTTTATTTGATAATCTCGTTAATCTCTCCTCACGCCTTCATATTTATTGTACTTTGTAGAGAACTCTTTCATTTATTAATATCATTTTGCTTTATGAACCCAAAAAAATTCAGCATGTGAAGTAATTTTTTCATGTGTTTCAAAAGTGTTCATATCTGATTTTCTATGTCCGATTTCTAACATTAGTTTTAATTCATATTTTGATGAGATGCGTATTAGTTACTTTACTTTAGATGATAAATTTTTAAATACTAAAGTTATATTTTATCAAAGTGAAAGTTATAAAATTATTTT